TTGTTCTGTCTCTCTCTTTCTCATGTCCTTGCAACAACAAAAAAAACCAACTCAAATTTAATGGAAAATATTCAGAGTTTATTTCTGTGTGGAGGATAAATCATTGTAAATAAAAATCACGAGAGAGAAGTGCTGCAAAAGAGGGAGATACAGAGAATGAGGGAGATGATGATGGAGAGGGGTGGTAGCAAGGGGTAAACGTCACTGACATTGGACAACAGTATCAGCAGTGGGGAAGGAAGGGGATTGCTAGCTTTTAATCTTTTAACTGCAAATGAGTAATCGTTAAGAAGAAAACGGTAAATGAAATGCCCCTGCACGTGAGGGTGTTCGTGTGCGTGTATGTGTGTGTGTGTGTGTGTAGGTGCAAATCGACAATTGAAATTTATCGATTTCACTGCAGACAGTGGCAAAGAGACAGAAAGAGAGAGAGAGAGCGAGAAAGAGATACAAAAATGACTGCAGATTTATTGAAATTCAAATAATAAATACGGCAGTATGTGAATTATAAATATATTATCGATCCATCCATCGCAAATACTGTGTACTACTCAACTTCGTTACCAAACATTGAAGTTACATAGATACATATGTACATATGTAATCAATGGGATTATGTATGTAGGCTTTCAATGTACTCGTATTATTAGTCCAGGAGGATAATGGCTTATGGAGGACCAAGCATCACAGACCACACATAGATTTCAGTATTGCCAGAAGGGCGGGGGTTAGGGAGGGGACAATTTTTAAACAAGATTGGCTATCCACCGCGGTGGTCTAGTCGGATTAAAAATGTGGAAATGTGGAGTAAGGACCTTGGCACCTGTGGAGGTGTGGTGGAGGTGGATTATCCTTTGTATCATTATTATAACCTTAACTATAACTTTTCTTACACACGAGATGTACATACACAAGCAATGGAACTCGTCCAATGGACTCTTTTGCAAGAGTATGAGTTTGTTTAGGGTTTTCATATTAGGGCTTCATTTACATATTTTTTTGGAAACTACTTCATCACGCAGCAGATCCAACAGGTGACTAGAACCGACTGGAAAGGATTTAACAGTTTGGTTCGGGAACAGCAACAGCAGGCAGGGTGCCCAGAAAGCGTGAGAGGATAGAGAGAGGATGGCGGGGTATTCCGTTTGTTTTACGCGTAGTCGTTGAGCCTAGATAGACACAACGACAGAGAGAGCCAGAGAGCGGGCATGAAATGCCAAACCTCGCATGCGAATACACCTTGAACTAGAGCAGAGCATTTCAAGGCACAGAAGAGGAGGTGTGTGGAGAGTGGAGGACGATAAAGGCGTGGCAATGACACTCGGCTCAGCACAGCTCAGCTCAACTCGCCCCCACACCCCTCCCTCCACCTCTTATTCACCTTCTTTCACTTCCTCTTCTTCTTGTGCTTTTTTTCGACTGCTACTGTTGCCGCTGCGGCTGACGTTTGTTTGCGCTTAGTTTTGCTTTTCGGATACCCTTTCGTTATTCAGTGGAGAGAATATTGATTAATGTGAGCCGCTGGTAATTCACATAACAATGGAGGGGGGGCAAACTCCGAGCATCCCCTACTACCAAATCTTCACGGAATATTTAGAGCTTTTCCTGAAGAAAACGATCTGCAAGATGGGTTCTAACGGGTTAAGTCAGAATTTCTCATGGTTCATGGCACGTGCAGGGGTTTTGCTGCCAGGTAGGGTATACAAAATGTGAGTAGCTCTATTTTGTTATTTTTTCTTGCTTTTCCGACTTTTATGTTGTTGTTTTTTTTTTTTTTTTTTGCTCATTGCTTTTTATGGCAATGGCCGGCGGATATTATCAACGGGCAGCAACATCTACAGAAACGACAGACACAAACAAAAAAATAGAGGCACAGGCACATACCTTTGTTATTATTGTTATTATTTATCAGAGCCCAGCGACGGCGTCAGAAATTTATTTTCATTAACAAGTTGGACACAAAAAGCACCGATCGCATGGCAATGGAAACGCCATAGAAAAGAAAAAAACAAAAAAAACAATAGACGAACGAGTACTACGAACGCCCCACCGCCAACCCGCTCGCTCGGGTTCGCCTCTCGGGTGGGATTTTGTGGAGTAGTACTAAAACTGAAATGCGATCCACTCAAGCATGAAAAGTGTTTCTGGGAACTCAACGGAACAGAAACAGTATTTGTCTATGTGCTTTCATTTTTGTTTTTGATTAATCAGTTTAAAGATTGTCCCAGCGGCTTTGACTTTTTTAGGGAATCGAATACCTAGGATCGAATATCTAAGAATATCTTGTGGGCAAAAAAAAATCGCAACTTGAGAGTGTTTCGGATTCAAAATGTCGTAATACAATCGAGTCACGCAGGAGAATGGTTTCTAGGAAAGAACGATTCCAAAGATTTCAGAGCTCAACCGAAGGAACATACAATTGATCAATCGACACTGCTGGACAATGGAATGTGGCTCCTTATCGCCCTCTCTCCCTTAGCCCAAGCCGGTTGCCTGGAGCACACGCAGAGTACACCTAATTATAGTTCCATATGCCATGGGTGGGGGGAGCGTACTTTGGGTGTACTTTGCAACGCAAATTGCATACATTTATAGGCACATAATTGCGGGGTGTAGATGACATAAATATCGATACGTTAGAGATGGGCAAAACTCCTAAGCGAACGGGCAGCGACAGGAGCGAACGAAGGACAAGGCGACACAGAGAAGCAGATAATTTGATAAAGTCCTTCCTGGGCGGAGGGGGGATACGATGCCATTAACTCGATTTCGAAGGGTTACGTTCCAAGTATGTAATTTCATTACAAGCGGTTGGATCTGATTAAAATCGAAATGGATAAAATTAAAATTGAACGCGCTGCGCAGTGGGTGAAACGGCCAATCTAGCTCTCTCTCTCTCCAGGGGACGGGGGACACTGCCAGGAGACACTGAGAAATGGCTCAAACGAATTCAAATAAGGGATCAACTGAAAATATCTGTGCGAACATTTACCTCATCGAATATGTAATATGCCCCGGTCTTTGGCGTGCTACGTACTGTGCACCATCTATATTGTGGAAATAGTTGACGGGTTATTTATAACAGGCATGCATACATACATGTACATACGAGTTTACTTACATACATATGTTCATATATATTATTGCTGCGCTGTTGCTTGTGGGGGCGACAGGTAGTCGAAGGTAGTTCAGCATGGGCAAGGGGTGTGGAGGGTGGAAGCGTGTGTGGGTGTCTCTCAGGTGCAGGCAAAGCTGCAATCAAGCCCCGAGTCCCCCTATTCAATATGCAGAATATTGTCATGTATGTATGAATGTACATATGTTCTTTCTATGTACATTTCTAGTATATGCATAATTTATATCGCGTGGCTGACACTAATTCAATTCAATTAGAAAATCTCGAGGAAAATGCTGGAAAAACGAAAAGAAGGGAAAATATGTGTATCCAGGGTGCTCGTCCAGGGGTTGTGTTCGTGTGCCCTTGTCTAGTTCCGGTACCGAAGCTCTAATACCCTTTCAGATGTATCGGTTCTATGGAAACTAAATAGATACATGATACATACATATGTACTTACGTATGTACTATATATGTTTGCATATAGCATAAATAAATGTAAGCATACAATTCATACGATTCAAATCTGTGGCTGTGCTGTCGGACTCAACAAACCGTTTATCACTGGCAGACTTCAAAATGTACTGTTCCCGACTAATTGCACGAAAATGTTCCGAAATATTCAGAATATTCACAAAGGAAACATAACTCAAGTGAACGAAGTGAGCCGCGGCAATGGCAATGGCAAGGGCTTCCATATACTACAACGATAGTATCGGATATATGTCTGTAGGTTCAGTTCGATCTGAATATGTGCAAATGGGAGCTGTATGATATCCATCCGTGTCCTTGGGAGCGAGCTATTGAATGGCGGATAATTGTACAAGTGACGTTTCGTTTTCAGCTCCTCTGTGGCTCAGTGTAATTGGCAGTACTAATTGGTACTACATATAGCAACAGGCACACACACGGAGAGAAGAGAACATCGAAAGCATACGTTGGGGACTGGAAAGAAGAACATGCACCCCAGAGCAAAGAAACGGAGAGAGCGAGAGGCGGTGGGGGATATAGTCAAAGAAATATGAAAAAATTAAATCCTTGAAATGCTTTTAGCGCAAGCTGCAAACCGCATTTAATAGGATTGAGCGGAGGAGGAAAAGTGGAGGGAGCTTTACCATAGTGACCGCAAATGCCCGCTCTGCACACCTCTCACCACCCCCTTGCCCCGTAGCCTTCTCTTCATCTAGACTAGCCAAAGTGTTCTCTCTCCCTGCTTCACCCCCTCATACATTAATTATTATATTTTTTTTATTTGCTTTGAAAGATTAAACCCCGGTTAACGCTCCCCTTCATGCTGCCTTCCCTTCCTTCTGCGGCTCCTACCAACCTGCTCTCTTTCCTCCTCTCTCACAATTTCATTTTGATGAGAGTTGCCAGAGCAACAAAATGGAAATTAAATTACATGAAAATTTCGTAATGAAAGTAACTTTCACGTGGCCAACGCACAATCTCCGCTCCGCACCCAACTCCCTTCAGTACCCACCACCAAAAACTCATCGAACCAAAAAAGATACCTTTTCCTTCTGCGTTTGCCCCGGAAGCCCCAGTGGGGGTTAAAGTTGCGGGAAGAAGGGTTGGAACTAGTTCAGGTAAAATCAGGAAGAAACTTCTGTGTTCGCTAGAATCGTAGAATTGTATGTATAAATATATTAAATACCCTGCAGTACCAGAAGTGAGCGATGACAAATGTCAACTACGCGTCATTCAAGATTTTTTCTCTGCCGCTGCAACAGACGAGTAGAATATGACGTCGACGTCGCGATCGACGCGTCGGTCTGACAACTCTTTTTTTTTCTTTGTTTCTTTCTGTTACGACTCGTGCCGTAACAGAATTCGGTTTTGCCGTCGGCATCGACAACGTTGTTAGAATTATGCGGTGAAAAGTGAGACGCAGGTTTTGTTTATTTTGGGAAAAATTATTATCAGGTAAGTGCAGTGTTTCATTTAATTAAAAATAGTCTATTGTGCGTTGTAAAAAATGAAGAAAATGTGATAGTGCGAAATTAAATGCGTTTTGGACGAAATTTTTCATTTCCAACAACGAAAACAGAAAAAAAACCACCCGATTGGTTCTTGCGAGTCTTGAGTCGAACAGGTACATATCTTGGCGAGTGTTTTGTTTTTGGCGCAAATGCACTGCTGATCTACTGAGAGCATTGTTAACAAATTGAGAAATATTTTAATTAACCCATCTTATTTTAAAGGCGATACAGTTGAATGACCACGACGACCTTACGATCATGAGCAAATCAAAAAAACTAAAAAGGTTCTGTGGAAAAAAGAACACACAGCACAAAAATGTGAATATGTATACATTTTTATAAGAAAACAATAAATAAAAGAAATTTAATATTTTAAAACAGAATTTACCCATGCCTTTTTCATCAAAATATCAAAAATTTTTACTTAAATACATCACTTATTAGGGCCTTACTTTTTAAGGGAAATTCATCGCTTATTAAGGCCTTACTTTTCAAGGGAAATTCATCGCTTATTAAGGCCTTACTTTTTAAGGGAAATTCATCGCTTATTAAGGCCTGACTTTCGGCTAATTCTCGCTTACTATGTCATCGATTATGCTCCTAGGACATCCCTGTGTTAAAGTAAACAGCCCATCGTATGGCAGGTCATCGCTTATGTCATCGAGCTGCATGACGTTGCCATCGATGTGTGGTTGCTTACACATCGCTTACCCGTACTGCAGGGTATATACATATGTATATTGTATGTGTTTCTTTTACCATTCTCAGCAGCCCAGAACGATGAGTCTGGTGTTGAAGTTTTTTAAATTTTAAATTCAGACACCAACAAGTGCTCGGAAGGAGTCTCTCTTTTCCGTTTCTTTTTTTTACAATCCCAGAAGTTTAGTTCCTAGAAGTATGTACGTAGGTGTTCAATGATCCTCGTTCTCCCTCCACGTGCTCCCAAGTTCACGTGTTTCATGTTTCGTTTCTTTGCCATTTGTTCCACCTTGTGCTGGTGTTCTGGTGTCCACCGGGGAGACAGACTGAAGATGAGCCTGTTGTTATTGTTTTTGTTGAAAGCGAACGGAACGACAAAGCGAAAACGAAAAACGAAATAACACAGCAACCATCGCTCAATGGCGAAGGCGGCTCTTCTAGAATTTCAATGTGTCCCAGAGGTGGTGGAGTGTGCGAGTGGGCGGGACGGCGGGTGGGTGGTAGTTGTGTGCTTCCAATTGGGGGGGGGGGGAGGTCATCTGGGTGTAGGTGGCTAGGGTATATCTAAAAAAACTATTGTTCAAGCGGCTGTGACGCAATGACTGTCATGTTTTACTTAATTCTCTTTTCATTTCGATTCGGCCGGGGGAGGGGGCGTAGGCAGGAGCGTGGTGGAAACAAAGACAACCTGTGGCATTGAGGCAGACCCCAAAAAAAAAGAGAAACAGACAGACAGATGGAAGGAGGGGGAAAAGCGCAGAGAACTACAAAGAACAAAGAAAAATAGATAAATATATATATTTGGGGGGAGTGGGTGGGAAACCAGCAGAAACCATAATTAAATCAACAAATTCCCAAAAACTAGAAAACAAAGAGCGAAAATACACACACACACACACACACACACACGCACAGACAAAGGTGCAAAAACTTAAGTTGTGCCCCCCGCCATTAAGTCTGCTTGGGCAGGGGAGGTGAACACAGAGAAAAGAGAAGAGCTGGCTGGGGAGGGGCTGACGAAGAGGAGGACGGAGCAGCAGGAGAGCAGATAGCTGTAACTTAACGACAAAAGGAAGCCCGAAAAAAACCACAAAAGCAACAAGATGTGGTAGACGCTCTCCTTCGGGTGTCGGAGCTTTTGATACCCTACCCTCACACAGATCTCCAACGTTCCCCAGAAAAAAGCCCTGAGAATCAAAAAGTTAAATTTAAATGTAAAAATGTAACCCAATAGATTTGCACAGAGACAATGTATCTGGTCAAAATGATATACACACGTATACCCATTTGAAGGGTATCCAAAGAGCAAGGCCAGCAGTCATCAATTCTGTGCATTGTCCTCCCAGGATCGCAGCAGGATAGCAGGGCAGAGCAGAGCTGAATTAGGTGACAAAGAGACCAAACAGATTATTCCGTTAGGCCGAAAAAGGCTTCCCATTTGAGGGAAATGCAAATGGAAATGAAAATGGCAATTTGAACTACAATTGACCACGAATATGCGTCATTAGAGAAGGCAACAAGAGGGTGAAAGAGAGAGCTACGGCGACGAGTGGTGAGAGCAAAAGAGACAAGACGACAGCTTAATTGCTATTTTGGTTACCCGTTTCATGTGCTAATTGTGAGCACGACGACCACTACGCTCTACGGAAAGTTATTGCTCTGTCCACTCGCAGGAACTGCCAAAAAATCCAAACACGTAGAGGGATCTCGTGATTTGGCATTGAAAATGCACTTTATTTCCACAGTTGGGTCGAAGCAGTAATGTGTTCTGACAGTCAGATAAGGGGCAAATATTTTAGAACTAGCTTTAACTATGTATGTACGCCTTAAGCTGGAAAATCGAATAGCACCCGCATAACCGATAAATGTGACCAGATGTACTATCTTTTCGATCCATTAGGCAGCAAGCAGCAGCGAGTACTTTCAGGCATTTCATAAAGTTAGTTCTTTTTATGGCTAAAACACATGAACAACATTTTTCGGCCAAAATAAAAGCGCAGAAAACAAGAAAACGTCTCACAGTAAAAACAAATGGCAAAAGGAGCGGAGCGGAGCGGTTGGAGGAGGGAAAGTGGCCTCTGGAAGATGACTAAGACATGCACTAAGAGTGAGAGCCGTCCCACATAATGCATTACCGCCCCCTACCCCACCGCGCTATGATCCATGGAAATTCGGGCAGGAAAAGCACAAGAGTAAGAGTAGAGCAGTTTGGTAGCAGCGTAAACGTAAGTATTGTCCTGGAGCAATAAATATTCCAATTCCAAATGAAAATTCATTTTGATAAGAGCATTTTTATTGTTTTGCAAGGAAATCGGCGTCATAACCAAAGAGAACGCCATGGCCAAGTGCTGGGATCTTTCGTCTATATCTTGAGTTATCTGTGCCAACCTTTTGGGCTGTTCTTTCAGCCAAGCTTCTCCCCATACAGATACATTCCAGATCATTGTTCCCATACATTCCATGCACAATTTTAAATTGCAATTTTTCTTATACTAAGGGGAGGGGAAAATAATAAGTAAGAAAAACTTCTATAATTATATAGAGGAATCGAAGAAATTACTCACGGATAAAAGAAGAACAGAAATGTGGTCAGAAGCAGCACAATCCAGGCGAAAGTCGCAGGAATGTAACGCGTTTTCACATCGCATTTGGGCATTTTTCTTTGCTTTTCTTTGTAGCGGCTCGCTGCAGTCTCCCTCTTTAAAGCGGTTTTTTTTAGTTTTAGTTGTAGTTGCTGCTGTTGTTTTTATTGTAGCTTCTATGTTGCAATGTCGTTGACCGTTTCGTCAGTAGTTGGCAATGAAATGCGTTTTCTGTGTGTTGCTGTTGTTGTTGTTGTTGCTGTTGTTGTTTGATGACGGATACAGTTGGCGTGGTTTCTGCCTGGGCCCCTTGGCTGCTGCTGCTGCTCGGGCTAGTGGTGCATCAGAGGGAGATGGCGACACACGCACACACACACACATGTGAAGAGTGCGAGACGGCGAGACGAAGCGGCGACGCGTGAAATGGGATCGACGGTGGCGCTGGCGCTCACACATACACGCGGACACGGGGGGAAAATTCTGCTCTCAATTTGCACTATTTCAGTGGAAAGTCTTGGAGAAGTCGCTGCTGGTTTCGGGGGGAGTTCCAGAAATTAGAATTGCAGTATAAACACAAACACAGAAAGAAAAAGATAGACACACAGAAATACATTTGGGTAAAACTGCTGTTAGCAGAGCTGTCAATCTAGCTCTTAACTGGCAAAAAAAAACGGAGTTATCGGGTCTTTCTTATCAAGCTATACACACACACACACACCCAAATATTTTGGAGAACGGATCATGATCCATCTCTAGCCTATTCCTGTGTGCATGCGTGTTAGCCAATTTAAGATCAGTCAAAGACAAAAGCAAATGCAAAAAAAAGTCACAATTTTCATTCTCATTTAATATTTCCTCTCGTATTTTCCATTACAGATTTATTGTTTCTTTTATGTTTGTAAAAAAAATGCATTTAATTTTCTCATACACACGCAAAAGCGAGCGCGTATTGGCCTATCTGTGTGCTACCATGCGTGTGTTTGTGTGGGGCGCAGCAGAGGCAGCGGCAGCGCAGTCAACGTTGACGTTCCCTACTTTTCATGCATATTTTGTTGTATTTCCAGCCAGCGATGGAAACGGTTTCCCCCCTCGACAAGACGCTACGTTTCGGCTCGTTTTCTTTGGCTCTGCTTTCGTTCATTCCTTCTTTCTATTTGCCTCTGCTTCCAACTGCTCCTCTCGACTGCTGCTGCCGCTGCTTCCTTAGCCTATCACAAACACACGTTGTTTCTGCATTTTTTTTTTTTTTTCTTTCTGTCGTATTTTTATTTTTTGCGATATTTCCTTACGCCTGCAAAAAGAATTATTTTTTATTGGTAGCACGGTTCGCGGATAGCGGGTCAGTCGGGGCCGGGCGGGGCAAAGGCGGGGACACGATCTCAATCGCCTGATTCGGAAACTCCACTTTCACACACTCGACGACACTTGCACGGCATTCCCAGCGATTTATGCACTATTCTGGCGTGTCGATTACGAAAAAATAAATTAAAAAAAGAGTACCCCCAACAATCAGTGTGACAGTGTATCTATCAACTAAATATACCGGCAGACCCTCAGAAGTATATCGAAATATATCGTCTCATTTTCAAAATATTCCGTAAATATACTGACGGACACGACAAGATGCGTTGACATTCTTCGAAATTGATATTCGTTTTAAAATTACCAGCTAGTTAGCCCTCTCAGCTCTAATAAAATAATTTTATCCAATTCATCATTCATTCATTCGATAATATCCATTTTTCTAAGGTTGGCAAATTGTCATCATTGTACTTTAATATAATTTAAAAAATAGATTGGAACTTGATTAAATATACTTTTATATACCGAATCGGTGGATCGGTATTACCGATATTTTGAGCTCGATTTCTTCATATAAAACTAGAAAAAAAATCGATGATTTTTCTCAAACAAGGAGTTTTTCAGTTACATAGAACAATATTCCATTGCTTTTGCGCTTAACAGCACATTTTTTCATTTTTTGCCTAATGTTATTTTTGGCGGGAGGTGTACACACTTTTTCTTTCCTGCCACCGACGCGGCATGTGATTTTTGTTTTTTCTGTTTGAATACATTTTCAAGTAAAATTATAACTCAACTCCGTGTACACAGCATGGACCTGAATGATGCTGTGCTCACCTGTGCGGTAAATGTACACTGGGCCAACGCAGTGGGAATCACGGGCCGTAAGCTGGCTTATAAGACGGCCACCCTGCGCTTGGTTCGCAACGATATCCGGGAGCTGTTTGTTGAGATGACGCCGGAGAAACTGAAGCCCCTGAAGTTCAAGTTGAAGGATCTGATGGTGCACAAGAAGTTTATGGCCGAGGGCAAGGCCACGTTCAACTTCAAGGCGGAGAACTGTGCCCTCTATCTGTCCAATGCCCCGCCCGGCACCCTGATGTTCTTTCTGCGCACAATATTCATCAAGATGAACGGCGCTGGTGGGCAGCCGGACGAGGCCACGATGCAGAAGAAGCTCAGGGAGCACTTGCTCTCGGGCAAGCCCAGCAACTTCGAGGACGTGTCGCCCGTGACCACAGCGGAGATGATTTTGGCGCGCAAAAAGGCGGGACTTGTTTCCAAAGGAACCACCACCACACCCTCGCCACAGGGTGCCAAGAAGCGGCGCTTCGACGAGCTCAAGGATCAGGATCGAGAGAAAGGCACCGTGCCGGCGGCCAAGAAGCTGTATCAATCCTCGCCACTGGCCGGAACAGACGAATCGCTGCGCCTCAGCGAGGAGCAAATGGAAGTGCTGCGTGCCTGCACCACGGGCAAAAATGTCTTCTTCACTGGGTCTGCTGGAACCGGCAAGAGTTTCCTTTTGCGCAGAATCATCTCTGCTCTGCCGCCGGATGGAACTATAGCCACTGCTTCCACGGGTGTGGCTGCGTGCCTCATTGGTGGCACTACGCTGCATGCCTTTGCGGGAATTGGCGGCGGAGATGCCACCATGCAGCGGTGCCTGGAGCTGGCCTCGCGTCCTGTCAGTGCCCAGACATGGCGGAAGTGCAAGCGACTGATCATCGATGAGATCTCCATGGTGGATGGGCAGTTCTTTGAGGTATGTGATGACTCCTATCCTTTAAATGACTCCCTTTATTGGAATCTTCTTGGTTCTCCTTGCAGAAAATCGAGGCAGTGGCCCGGCACATTCGTCGCAATGAGCGTCCCTTTGGCGGCATTCAGCTGATCCTTTGTGGCGACTTCCTGCAGCTGCCGCCCGTGATTCGCGGGGATTTTGGTGCGGCTCCCAGCGCCACGCCCCAGCAGCGCTTCTGCTTTCAGTCCAGCGCCTGGGAGACCTGCATTCAGTGCGTTTACGAGCTGAAGCAGGTGCACCGACAGTCGGACCCGGAATTCGTCAAGATCCTGAATCATCTGCGCATTGGTCATGTGAATGAATCGATTACCACGCGTCTGGCGGCCACATCCAGGCAGAAGATCGAGGGCAATGGCATCCTGGCCACGCAGCTCTGCTCCCACACGAATGACGCCAATTCCATTAACGAATCGAAGCTGGAGAACCTCAAAGGCGACAAGGTGCTCTTCCGAGCAGACGACTCCGATGCCGGAATGACCAAGCAGCTGGATCAGCAGGTCCAGGCCCCATCCCAGCTCTATCTCAAGGTGAATGCCCAGGTGATGCTGCTCAAGAACATAAATATATCCAATGGACTGGTCAATGGAGCCCGCGGTGTGGTGGTGCGCATGGAAAATGATCTGCCAGTGGTGAGGTTCAAGAACAATGAGGAGTACGTCTGCAAGCACGAAAAGTGGATCATCAAGACAGCCACCGGTGGGGTGGTCACCCGTCGTCAGGTTCCGCTAAAGCTCGCCTGGGCCTTCTCCATCCACAAGAGCCAGGGCCTCACCCTCGACTGCGTGGAGATGTCTCTCTCTAAGGTCTTTGAGGCGGGTCAGGCCTATGTGGCACTGTCCCGAGCCAAGTCCCTGCAATCCGTCCGCATTCTAGATTTCGATGCCAAGCAAGTGTGGGCCAATCCTCAGGTGCTGCAGTTCTACAAGGGCTTCCGGCGACGCCTCATGGACACGACAATGATTCCCCTGGGACCCAAGAACAAGGACAAGCGCCCAGGCGATGCCAACAGTGCCTTGGCCAAGATCAAAAAGAGTCTGATGAGCAAACCATTGGTATCCATTAGCTGATTAGAGGATGGCACTCGGCTTTTTCATGAATTTAGTTAGGATTTGTATAACCTGAAGACTGCTTTTCTTTTGGAGGCTTTTCCACAATATTTTTAGCATATATAGAGCAACTATCGACCCAAAGTGGGGAATAATACGAACAAACTAGCATTAACCAATAAGCTGACATTAAAAACTATGTACTGCAATTAAACGGAAAACGGCAACAAATTCCTCGCCGAAATTAATTATACAACAAAACGAATCTTAATTGGGAAATTAAAAAAATAGATGACTGATTGATGCATAGACATGGATTTGAAACCATTGGCAGTACAATTAAGCTTTGTGCTTTTTATAAATAATTTTTTTAAAGCCAACCTCAACTTGGATGGAGACAATTTACGCTCTACCGACTCATTTTTGCGTTTTAATAATGAGCACAAAAATACTGCAGAAATACCGTAAATATACCGAGCAAAATAATATTACTCAATTTAGATATTCGGCAACACTGGCACAAGTTTTTCGCATCGCGTCTTTGGAGTTTTTCTTTTCCCGGTAAAATCACCTAACCGCAAGCACTGCCAGCGCCGTCCATTGAGCTGGTTGTAACCGTCATACAACCGGAGAAGCGGTCGCCAGCGAGGAGTGCCCACCGGAGCAGCACAGAGCCTTTTATGCTTATCCAGGATTAGGTCAAGCAGACGCCATCGCATCGCACCGGGTGGTGGCTAGACAGAGACAGCGACAGCTATAGCCAGAGCGGGAGTGAGCGAGCGAGCGAAACAGCCATGTCGCGAAGCGTGCGGGCGGAGACGCGCAGCCGGGCCAAGGATGACATCAAGCGGGTGATGCAAGCCGTGGACAAGGTGCGGCACTGGGAGAAGAAGTGGGTGACCATCAGCGACACTACCATGAAGATCTACAAGTGGGTGCCCATTGCCTGCACCAGCGAAAAGAAGTCAAAGCTGCAGCCCCTGAGCACGAAGCTGAGCGACAAGGAGAACTCGCAGAAGGGCACACCCACGCCGCCACAGATTACGCCCAGCTACGGGGGCCTCACCGCCGAGGATTCTAATACCTGTAAGACGTGGACGAGCCGAGTCCGAGTGTATAACAGGCTCCAACTAATGACTCCCTCTCTTTCTCTCTCTGCAGGTTTCTCAGTGGTGTCGGATAGCCAGGGAGCGGACTTTGTCTCCAGCATGCCCTTCTCGGAGGACTCCAACTCGCAGGGCAGCGACGGGCCCGTGAAGCGCCTGAAAACGAGCGACTAGCTAAACATTCACAGCCGCCACAGCAGCAGCAGCAGCCGCAGCAGCAGCAGCCGCAGCAGCAGCAATTAGTCCTTAGCCCAGCCTCACCTTCACCTCCAGCCCGATTCCCGCTTAAGTTAAGTTCGTTTATAATCTGCCTCAGACAAAGACTTAAGCAATCCTACTCCTATTCTAGAAGTATAAGTCCAACAGCTGCCCCAGCTACAGCCCCTCCAGCCCCTCATCATGCTTTGTGCGGCCGGAGCAGCTCTACCGCCTAGGTCCTAGGTCCATAGCATTAGGCCACGATTGCGACATTTTATTTATTAGCACCCACCTGTATCCTTCAATCGAGCCCAAGCCAGTCTTCTCTCTCCGTATTGTACACGTTTTTAGCTGTCAATTCTTTATGTACATAGGCATACATATGTATGTATATATGTTTCATGTTCCATGTTCCATGCTCCATATATAAATGTTGTCATTGTCAATCTTTATGTATTATATTATGTATGTAAACGTTTGTCCTGTTCGCACTTTATATGCGCATATATGTATGTGTATGTGTGTACATATGTATTGCGTTATTTACATAAATGTTTTGTCGCTGGCAACCCAATGTATATGTACTTTATAGACACTTAAGGGGAAAGTGGATCAACATATGGATAAGTATTTATAAGAACAGAGATGGTATATATAGAAAAGGATAGTAAGAGTACAGAGATTTAAGAGGAATAAGGATTTAAAAGTCTTTTCCATTTTTTGAAAAATTTATGGAATCTTGGATTTATAAAAACAATAATATATACAGCTAAAGATTAATAAGAATTAAGACTCATAAAGATGGCGAAAAGCATTTATATCCTTTGATAAGTAATTTATCTTATATTATCTCTAAAAATCTGTACACAGGGACACTGGGGAGATGCTCTGAAAGCCATACGAACGTGCTCCATATATAAATGTTGTCTTTGTTGGTCTAGATGTGAATACAAACATTGATACATACATATGTCTCTATTTCTATAAGCATTTATACATATATGTAGATCCTTGCTTGTATGCCACCTGCTTGGGGATAACGATAGAAATTTTCAAACTTTACAGCCCCTCCTAGCCCTACTACAATTCATATATTAACGATGAATGATAATGTGTACTTGTCGTTTATAGCGATTTTTCGACATTTTGTTGATTAGGATTCTTTATTCAATATTTAGTTTTAGTGGATTTCCCCCCTAACCGAAAAGATGTGTAATAAAAAAAGATTTATTCTTTCAACAAATAGTTTTCATTTCGTTATAAGTAGTTTTACTCTTATTATTTCTGGTTTCGTATTCATTATATAGCTTGACATTAAATATACAATTAACTTCACAAATATATACATACATATGTACATATACATATCTGTATATTCATATGTATGTATATATATAGATTTATTTATTTATAGCAATGTGTATGGCCCGACTGGCATATACAGCTAAGTTCCAACGATCCTCCTCCTTCTTTCACTAAAATTTATGCTAAAACACGCTTAAATGAAGGGAAGCACAGATTTTGCACAGAGAATGAACAGTAAAAAAAATGTACGGCTTTCGACGACCAAAAATAAATCGTAAATCATAATACACATTCATAAATCGATGATATAATTAAAAAATAAAATATATTTATATATGTATATATATATATAGAAAATATGTACACACATGTGTACAAAATAAAACACGCGCTACAGGCTTTTCAACAGGACACACACACACACAAAACGGAAGCGAAAGAACGAAAATTGGTAGTGTGTTGCGGGGGAAGAAACCAACAATAAAAAAAAAACAGAGAGAGAGTGAGAGAGTGAAAAGAAAAAGCTACGCTTTTCTTTGCTGCAGAGAAGGGGAGGTTGCCGGTTGTCCATGTGTGTGTGTGTGTGTGGAATGTCTGGTTTTGAACCAAAAAGATAGCCACAATCAAAAGTGAAAAGCAGGACAAGCAGTTCCAGTGAAGCAAGCAGTTGATCTCTCTCTTCAAAAGCAGGCTATCTTTCGGCTTGTTAGCACTTTCATGTGTGTGTGTGTGTGTATGTGGGTGTTTGTGTGTTTGAGTGTGTGCGGGTGTTTGTGTTGGTGTGGGTTCTGCTCATGAATAAATTATTAAATTAATTATTATACATATGTATATATAAATATACATGCATACATATATATGTGGGAATGCATTTAGTACATACATACATATTCATCCAATAAGTATGTTCTGTTCTCTATATTTTATTATTTTTGCTTGGCTTTTTGTATGTATATTTTTAGGCGTTTTTTCATTAACTCTTGGTTTTGTTTTGTTTTTATTTAGAAAAATATAGGAAATTCAAGCTTTGCTGTGTCTTTTTGTTTGTGGAATGTTGCTTTAGTCGCCTTCATATATGTAGATACAGATATACATGCATACAAATGTATTTGGTGCATATATATTCTGTCTCTGATACACATACATATATATGTACATATATAGTTAATATTGTCATTTGGCTTTCAGAAAAATATATTATCTATGCCTTAATTTGAGTTTCTTTTTATACAAATTTCAGTTTTGTCGCAAAAAACATTTCAAGTAGCAAAAAAAATTACATACATACATTTCTTTTTTTTTTGTTTCAAAAAAATTACAAAAATTTGCTTTACAAAAGTGTTTGTTGTGTGTGTGTGTGTTTGTGTGTGTGGTTCTGGCAGAGAGAGAGAGAGAGCGGAAAAAGAAAGAGAGAGAGAGAGAGTGCTGGCTAAGCGATTCAGGAGCACTGATTGGTTTAGCCAGAGTGTCTTTCTCTCGCTCTTTTTACCTTCTCTGATCCTCTGATCTAGCCATATGCTCCAAGTTTGTGTGTGTGTGTGTGTGTGTGTTAGGTTTATACATATATTTTTATAGTGGTTTTTTTTGTTTATATATAATAATAATTGCAACAGATTCTTGTTTTCACCACCTCTTATCCATCGTTTTGGGGCGCTCTCCGCTCCTCGTTACTTAGTGGCTTGGATATGTCCCTCTTTCGTTTCTGAATCCTTATAGCTGCTCCTCCTCCTCCTCCTCCTCCTCCTCCTACTTATGTGTGTGTGCGGCTGTGGATTTGAGTCAAGGCTAGACCTTGGTGGTAAGCTTGCCGGTGGCGGCCTGCCAGGATTTGTGATGTCTACTACTAGTGCGTCCCTGTCCCTGTACCTGTCCGGGCTGCTGCTGCTGCTGCTGCTGCTGGATAAGTCTGTGTTATGTGTGCAGCGGATAGCTGCTATCCGGCTCGTGGGGACGCTGCCGCTGTTGCCGGTGCTGCGGGACGACGGCAGCAGCTTGATGGGCTTGATATCAGCACTCGGACTTGTCTTCCTCCACAAGGAACTGCGTGTCCTTGCCGGTGTCGGCGGAGGGGTCCAGCTCCCGTGTGCGCAGCTGCAGTTGCGGCGACGCCTTGTGAGTGATGCTGCTTGGGGCAATGATGGCGGAGGCTGGCTCTGTGAAGGAGCCGCCGCTCGTGGCATGCGGGTGACCCATCGCCTTGGGCTTGCCCGGCTCTCCGGGGACATCGTAGATGCCTGCGAGGGGGGAGCGGGAGAAGGATTAGTCAAGCAGCAGGGTGAACGGCAAGGAGAGTCTACTCACCGGATCCATTGCCCATGCCCGGATCCGTGGTGGTGCCCGACTGCACGGCATCGTACATGGGATTGGCAAAGTCGCGGGCCTTGTTCGCGTTCACCGTCTGCAGGTTGTAGCCCTCGATGGGCGCCACATCAGCCGCCCCCGGCGCCGAGGCGCCCGGAAAGCCGCTCTCGCTGAACTCCACGTTCGAGCCGTGGCGGAAGGTGACGCTCTGCGACGACGTCATTGCTGGCATCCGTGCCAGCTTGCCACTAGAAGAAAGCAGAAGAGAAAGCAGATTTTGAGGTGAGACACACACTGCAACAGGCGAAGCAGCAAGAGAGCCCTCATTCTATATAATCTTCGGTAGAAATCTCCGTTTGGGGGCATTCAATTGGATCTATCTTCCTGCACAACTGTCGTCTGGTATACGCGAATCAAGAATGGCTCCCGAGCAATACAAAAAGAAAGATCTACGGATACTTACAATGGACGCTTGCGAATGACATACCAGGCCCCAGCGGCAGCCATCATCACCAGAAGTATGACCATGATGGGTACAACGACGGCGGTGACGTTGGCCCCGCCGTGGCCGAATGCGCCCGTGGTGCTCTTCTCGCAGTGCTCGCCCCGGAACTCGGCCAGGCACTCGCAGACGAGCTCGCCCTGCTCGTTCTCCTTGCACAGTCCGCCGTTCTGGCAGGGGCAGATGCGCGGCGCAGGACGCGGGTGCTCGGCGGCGGCGTCGCAGATTACCTCGGCGGTGCTGCGGTGGGAGGGCAGCGGGCCGGAGGTGTCGGGGCAGGCGCAGCGGCGGCCGCCCGGCACCAGCAGGCAGAGGTGGGAGCAGGTGGCGTTGGCGCAGGGGTTCGGCAGCGAGGTGTTGTAGCGCTTGTCGTGGTAGACCTTGAGGCCGGACGGATTCACCAGGTTGCGGTGGAGCACCACCTGGACGCCGCGCCCGAACTTGTCCTGGCGCAGGAGCTCGCCGGTGTCGCGTGTGACCCAGAACATGTTGGACTCGAAGAGGTCCAGAGAGACGGGGTGTCGCAGCTGATCGCCCTTGACGATGGCCTTCCGCATGGACCCATCGGCCCGCATCGACTCAATGGCGTTCAGCTTGGTGTCCACCCAGTAGATAATGTGGTCCTGCGAGTAGTCGATGGTCAGGCCGGCGGGATGCCGGATCTGCTCGGTAATGAGGGGTCGCCGCTTAGAGCCATCCATCCAGGAGACCTCGATCTTGGGCGCCGAGCCCGCATCCGACCAGTAGATGCGTCCCAGCTGGGGGTTCACGGCTATGGAGGTGGGCACCTCCAGCCCAGCGTTCACGATGGAGCGCCGATACCGTCCGTCTGTCTTGGCCACCATGACGCGTCCGCGCGGCTTGGATCCCGTGCGGTCCATCTCCGTCCAGTAGAGGTTCGAGGCGAGCCAATCGACGGCCACGGCCGTCGGCTTGGAGCCGCCCTTCATGTTCAGGTCCTGGGCGAAGCCAATCTTGGCCCGCCCATCGATGGCGTTGACCATGTAGGAGCGCTTGATCGTCTTGTCGTAGCTGTCCGCCCAGAATACGATCTGCTGCTGGGCGTCGTAGTCCAGCGCCTCGATCCGCTTCTCCGCGGCAATCACGTCGAACTCCTCGCGCTTCTGCAGGTCCAGGCCGCGGATCTCCTGGCCGTTGGCGAACACCAGCACAACGTCCTCCTTTTCGGCCCGGCACACGCCACTGGCACCGTCCGCCAGACGGAAGCCCTCGCGGCAGCTGCACGAATAGGTGCCGTTGAGGTTGTGGCACTGGTGGGAGCAGGTGTGCTGCCGCGTGAGGCACTCGTCAACGTCCGCGCACTTCTTTTTAGTTGTCGTGGGCGATGATGTAGCCCGGATAGCAGGTGCAGATGTAGCCGCCGTCCGTCAGGTTGTGGCAGTGGTGCTGGCACCCGCCGCGGGTCTGCTCCGAGCAGCTCGCCGTATGGTGGCAGCCC